CATATTCTCAAAGCAAAGTGTTTCCTGAGAAGTCAGCCAGAGTCGACCCCACACACAACTGAAATACAGAAGCTTAGCATGTGCCAACAAGCAAGAAAACAAGAACTTTCACACAATAAAGTCAAATGTTTAACACGTGGAGCACATTTACAGCTAAAAGCAGTCATCAGATTATATCCATAGCTATCAGAAAAGAGTTTTTTAACCACACAAGAGTAAGTTTACCAAGAGGATTTGTGCTAAAGGGCAAATCACCGAGAAAAGGAAGTGGCAGGAAAAAGGTCGGGGCAGCAATCGTGATGAAAAATTGAAAGAGAAACAAAAATAAATTCAATCAGCTCCAAGGAAACAAAACTAAAGAGAGACTGGGAGAGCTGCAGAGCTGAGCTGCGTCTCGTCCGGATCGTAACCTGCTGAGCTTCTCTCCTCTAAATGTTTCATCATCAGTGACTCATCCAGCTCGTTCAGTCCCGTTTACATCAAATAAAACTGGGTGCGGTTTTACCTCTGTTTCTATGACAACCAATCCAGCACCTGAGGACGAGCGGGTAAATGACAGCTGTGTCCCAAAGCGTCGGCTGCATCCGGAGGCCGCGTTTGAAGGCCGATCACGTCACAGCCAGGCGACGAAGGCTGTCCCAAGTCGTCGACTCCTTCAAATGCGTCCTTCATTTCCTTGAATTTGAAGGATGGGTCGGGTGTGTCCTTCGTGGCCCACCATATCCCAGAATTCATAGCGCGGCCCAGCCAAATCTCAGCTGCCAACAATGGCGGCTGCTGCTAAGTTTTAAAATTACTCTTATTAATCTTTCTGGGTCACAAAATAAACTTTTAGCATATTTTCAGGCGAGAAAGTAGCTGTGCAAACTTCAAATATCTGCTCGGTTTATCGAGACACCACATATTTGCAAAAGTGCGCCGACGTTTTCGGAGACGTCTGTTACCCACCAGCTCGATAGCTAGCCGGGGGGTTCAATGGTCACTCCAGCCGGCGAGAGTGGCGGACTCCCGGCTTCATCGTTTTCAGACCCCCGCTCTGTCGCTACTCAGGTTAAACATGATATAAGTCACTGATACCTTAAAAATGTAATTGTTTTCCTTTTTTCGGTGTTTTATTTGTTCCGGAGTAAATCGTTTGGCTGAGATCAAAGTTATTAGACTATTCGATTAAATAAAACTTTATTAATCTATCGGGTGGGTTCCTCCGGGATTTTCACACAGCTGAATAAACGTCAAACAGAAAACTGATTAAACAGAAGTGTGAGACGGTCGAGAGTTTACTCCAGTCCTGTTATATTTTAGACAGCAAGGAGCAGACGGCGAGTTTATTAAACTCCACCCACACAGCGCTGACGCTGATCTGAAGGCGAGACCGTCCCATTTCACCGTCTCGCACTTCCGGCCTTCTCGGTCTTCGAAGGACCCGGCCCACGTAGACCGCGAAGCCCGGGTCCTCCGAAGGATGCGGCCGACGTTTTGGGACACAGCTGACGTCTCTGTTGCCAAATATCTGTCGAGTGAGCTATTCTGGCCCAGATGACCAGGTCCAGATCCTGAACTGGGTCATTCTGGGATGAAATGGAGCAGCAGAACCAGGACAGAACACAGCCTGGAAGCAGAAAAACATTCCTGACCCACATCTCCCACTCAGAGCAGCAACCCCGGGTCAGCTGCCCCTTTTGGCTCTCGCGCTCTATTAAAGTCTGAAAAGGGGGCGGGGTGTCAGGTGACCCGTTTAGAAAATCAGCGCGGCGAACGTGAGCGAGGATTTGGCTCATCACAAACTCTGTTTCAGGTTTTCTACATGGCCTCCTTCTTCTACACCCTCTACTACGTTTGGAACCTCTACAAAGGAATCAAGGAGAAGTACTGCAGCTGCAAGGATGGATACTCTGTACAGGTACAGACACATCTGTCCAGCTGCCAGGGCAGCAAAACACACACAACAGGTAGTAAACAAAGCTTTCAGGGTTTTGTTTGCAGCTCATAAAGCTTTAGAATAACACAAAGGGCAAACCTGACAGGGTCAAACTCTGCGCGGCCCACAGCTCCCAGAGGCTCAGTAAAAGTAGAGTGGTGGGGAAACCTAAGAGGATAAAAGATGCTCCAGTGTCCTGACGGGGCACAGACCTCCCCATGTTTGGTCCTGATGCTTCAAAATAGTTTTGATCTGGTACCTGATCACTTCGGTGCAGCATGAACAGCTTTGTTTGTCTCAGTAAACATGAGGCTTTAAAATGATTTTAAAGGGCCTTGAAAAGCTTATGCACACATCCAGACTGGACGACTGTAACTGCTCTACTCGGGCCTCCAACACTCTTCTCTTTACCGGCTTCAGTTAATTCAAAATGCAGCTGCGCGTCTCTTAACAGCTACGAGAATCTACGAACGCATCGCTCCAATTTTAGCCAAACTACATTGGCTCCCTGTCAAATATCGCATAGATTTTAAAATTCTTTTGTTCGCTTTTAAAATTCAGAATAATTTAGTGCCCAGCTCTCTCTCTGAGCACTTAGATCGGCCAATCACAGGCTCCCAGCACAACCTCGGTCTCGGTGACCGGGCCGTTGCAACCGTGGCACCCAGACTCTGGAATAACCTCCCTGTTCATGTTCGTACCGCCGAGTCGATCCAGTCTTTTAAATCACGTCCTGAAACGTATCCTTGTACTGTGGCTGTTGGTTCTAACGAGTTGTTCTAGCTTGTTGTTGTCGCCTGTCTCATGCTTTTACTGTGAAGCACTGTGGTCAACATCGTTGTTTTAACATGTGCTCTATAAATACATTCTGATGTGGTATTTTGCATCCTTGTGCAGGTTTCCAACCGAGTGAGCACGGCGGGTAAAATCGTTGCTCTGGTTTCATGGTGAGTGAGCACCAAAGCCTCATTCTGTGGATGCATGCAAGCACACACACGGTGCTACTGATAACAGTGTGTCCTGCTCTGTGTGTCTGCAGTCTGCTTCCTGTGCTGCTGATGCTGCCGGTAATCATAGAGGGGAACATCAGCCACTGTCAGGCCAACCTTACCGAACCCTACAGGTGAGGCCAGAACACAAAGTGTTCACGCCGCGAGCAAATCCACCGATTGCTTCCACGCAGAAGCTCAGTGGGCTTTTTTCCACATCCGACCAGGTGTCTGATGATGCACACCGGAGCGCTGTTCCTGATGTCGGACGAGCAGCCGATGAGCCGAAGCTGCCTGTACCTGCACACCTACCACATCACCGTCTTCCTCATCACCGTGCTCGTCACCCTCCTCAGCATCACGGTGAGTTCACGCTCGTCGCACAGACGCGTCTTATTCTACGAACATCACGTGGAGGTGACCTCCCCTCTCCCCCCCGCAGGTCCTCGTGGTCAAAGCGCGCTGTATTTACAGGCGCATCGTGACCTCTAACGGTTACCTGGGCAGCGAGCAGCGGGCCTCGTTCAGCGTGATGGACCGGAGGATGGTCCTGTACCCGCTGGTCTTCGTCTTCTGCTGGGGTCCAGGTTTGTTCGGCGCGGACTCTGATTGGTTCTTGTTGGCGACAGACGCAGTCAGCGAGGTTTCAGCGTGTCTTTGTTTGTCGTGTTGTTTCCTCAGCGGTGATCCTGGCGTTTCTGCGAGTGGCGGATCCTGCGGCGTGCCAGGGCAAAGCCGGGGTGGTGCTGTACATCCTGCAGGTGAGTCGGTACCAGAGAAACACGACGGCGCTTACACTCTGAGCTCGTTCAGCCTGTTTTTGGTGGTCTTTTCAACAGTTTGTTTGATTTGGATCTTTTGACAGCAGTTGAACATTTTGTGGTTGAATTTGTGTGTCGGGCTCATTTTGTGCTCTTTGAATGTTTTCTTTGTGTAACTGTGTCTCATTAAGCTTCCTTTTTGTGCCGTCTCGACTGCTTCACTGGTCTTTTGTTGCTTTCTGTGCGATTCACCACGTAGGATATCTCAGGCTCATCGTTGTGGTTCTTTTTGTCGTAGTCACACGCCTCTCTCAGGTTGTTTCACGTGTCTTTCGTGCAGTGACCCAAGCGTGTCTTGTGTCCTCAGGCGTTAACCTCGGCCTCTCAGGGCTTCTTTAACTGTCTGGTCTACGGATGGATTCGCGTGTACCTGCGGCGAGCCCGCAGGACGTTTTCGTCTCGAGACGCGGACACTCAGACGCCTCTGCTGCGAGCGCAGAAGAGGAGAGGCTACCAGACCCTGCAGACGCTCGCCTGAGACACACTGAGACCGAGGGCGTGTCTCTGCCAGCTGCCTCGAGAGGAGAGTCTGAACTTTCGCTTTCCTCGAGGGGGAAAACACTTTGTTTCTGCATCAAACTTCCACCTATGATCCTGAACCACTGAGGCGAGAAAAAAGGGAAGAAGCAGGAGGGGGGGGGGGCTTTACACCGAGAGGAAGAGCGACGCCGAAAACAGGATTTGAAAGAGACGCGACATCGTCACCTGTGAGCTCCGTCGCACGGACGGGCCTCACAGGGGTTTGTTCAGGCAGGTCACATGACCCCTGCTGGTCACCGGCGCACAGTGAAAATGAAGACGCGTTTCTTTGGACGTTTGTATGTTTTATGAAATGTGCAAATGACAGAAAATTATTCCTTGTGTTTAAAAAAACAGATTTAATCTCTGAGACTTTTTGTAAATATGCTCCTTTAATCACATCTGAATTTGTTTTCCTTTTATTTCTGTTGACTGCATTAAAATAGAGATTTCTACAGAACGCAGTCGTCGTTTCCTTCCTGTCATTTGCGGCTCCATTTCCACTCTTAGACTCCAGATCCTTTTCCTTACTCTTCTTAGATCAGCTCATCTGTCTGACACCAGCTCTCTTTAGACCCTCCCTTCCCCTGTGGTGGGTCTGCGCCTCCACAGGCCCCACTGGTTTAGAAACTTATTCTCAACAACAACACAATCAGCGATCGATCGATTTCACTTGCTAGCAAGGGAAGGCTGGTTGGAACAGGCTCTTGGAGCTCAACGCTCCTCACCCGACTCAACCCAACTTCTTCAAAGAGGAGCCTTCCTCACAGCTGCTTACTGAAAACAGTTACACAACAGTAAACACAAGCACCTCCCCTCATAAACCCCCCCATGGTCCTAAAAGATAAGGCAGTGTGTGTGTGTCATAGTTGTGCGTGTTTGTGTGACCTGCTGATCACAGAAGGATCATAAAAGCAGGAAGCTTACCACACAGGAAACAGATCTGCCTAATAAAGCCTCCCCCAGCACCGTGGTCAGGATCAAAGGAATGTCTTTGATCATATAGTTTAAACTAAGACTTACAAATTTAAGAAACACAATGACAACAATTAACAACTTGACTCCAACACCCTGCCTGCTTTCTTTTGATTGGGAAGCTTGTGGAAGCCTGCTGAGGGGCTACGTGTGCTCTGTGGGTGCTCAGTGCCTGTAGAACAGGGGTGTCGAGGGCCGGTGTCCTGCAGGTTTTAATAGCACCCTGGGCCAACACACCTGATTCACATGATTAGTTCATTAGCAGGCCTCTGGAGCACTTCAGGACATGTTGAGGAGCTCGTTTAGCCGTTAAATCAGCTGTGAGGATCAAGGACTCGTCTAACACCTGCAGGACTCCGGCCCCGAGGCTGAGTTGGACGCCTGTGCTGTAGAAGATGACTGTGTCAGGAAATCTGTGACAGTAGGAAAAACACTCGAAGCGTTTGGCTTACAGGGATTTTATTTAGTTTGCTGCCTCAGTGTTTTTATCATAGAATGAAACATTTGTAATATTTATTTGAAAGAAATAAGGAATATGTCTCCTAGGCCGTCACACCACACAACCATCGCTTCTTTCACGCCGGAGCCTGACCTCACTCATTATGGGATGTCCTGTTCAGAGGGATCCCTGCCAATTCCCATCGTCTGCTGCGGGCGTTTCACGGCAATCTGCACAACAATCAGTTTGCTCTTCAGGCCGACGTCAGCGTCTCTGAAATGTTGGCGTTCGTGACGTGACTGCAGAAGAATCTGAGCCCCGTGGGAGAGTTTGCAGAGCTTCACTTTTAAACCACGAAGAACTAAAGAGGCTTCAAAAGGTCTCAGGGTGAATGTTTACCGCCACGTTCACACTGACACACAGGAAGTGTTTGATTTGAAATGTTGGTTTGCACTCGTGACATTAACGAGCTCGTTTGGATTTACGTCATGAATGATTCAAAGCCTGTGAACACGAATACAGTGCAGAGACAACAGAGTCAGAATACTAAAAGACTGAACGCACAATGAAAAGAGAGCTAATCACGTGCACACACAGACGGAAACTGGTTTAGCATTAATGTTTTATTTATGACACTGATGTGTTGTTACGCAGTGATTGTGACGTATGTTGCTCTAAGGCAGCGGTAGGCAACTGCAGGCCTCGAGTGCCGCGTCCTGCAGGTGTTAGATGTGTCCATGATCCATCACAGCTGATTTAAAGGGCGAAATGACTCCTCAGCATTTCCTGAAGTTCTCCAGAGGCCTGGTGTTGGGGGAAAACTCTGTAAAAAACCCAGGAGAAATAAAGACACAATGAGACAAAGTTACTTTCTTTGCTAAACGTGTACACGGGTGAGCTGCTGAGAACAACTCACGTCGTGAACAGAGGCTTGGCACTTTTTATAGAAAAGACAGTGAGAACAGGATAAGAAAATAATAAACAGATAAAATAAACAACTCCATATGTGGCGCTAGTCTCGTCAGCAGAGCGGTGAGAGATAAAACAATCTAAAACAATATGTCTTTGCTGGGAAAGTCTAAAAGGATAATTCTAAACTAATCTAACCATAGACAAAGGGCAGTGAAAAAGGCATCTTTGTACATTTAAAAGAAGGTAAAGAAACATAGAATCATTTTCCACTAACACCTGGTAATGAACTCATCATTTGATTCAGGTGTGTAGACCCAGGGTGCGATCTAAAACCTGCAGGACACCGGCCCTCGAGGCCTGGAGTTGCCTACCGCTGCTCTGAGGAGTTTATCCTAATGGGCATGTCTGAACTTAGAAACAAACACCAGGGGGCGCTGCAGGCTGTGTGTAGTCTTTGTTAAAACTGCACAGATTTAATGTATCAGGATCTTTACCAGGTAGTAAACTGAGAACAGCACATGACATTTTACACCGTGTGGTCGTTCAGATGCAGATTCAGTGGAGTTTGAGTTCATGAAGCGGACTGTGTGAACGCTGGAACAACAGCATCCACCTGTGACGCTGTCTGGGAGCTTTCACCTGTATCATGAAGAAATCAGGTTTACTGCAGCATCATTGTAATAGAAGCTACGTGGCAGTTGAAGAGGGCGTTGTAGGTTTCTCCTCCACGTTTCACAAAATCAGCAACTTTCTTCCTCCCGTTAAACTGTCTGCTCAGGTGAAACACGGGCTGCAGGGAACGCACACTTTAGTATTTTATTCTGCCTCCATACTGCTCATCATTCACTGAAGCACACATTTTACTCCACAGAGGAAATATCTTTATGTTCAGCAACTCATCACTCTTTCAAAAATGTCTCTGGCTCAAAGCTTCAGTTCAAACTCTGACTTACCTTCCAGGCTGAGCTCATGTGCCGAGCGCTGGTCACCACCGTGTCAGAGGAGATGCCGTAGTCCTGACCTTTGTGGATCAGCCACTGAGCTCCATCAGCGAGCGTCACTCTGAGGGAAGAGAAAACATAACGAGTCTGACGCTGCGCTCATCAAACATCTGAGAGTCTGAGATTCAAGCTGTCAAAGCGCGTCTGTGAGCTCAAGGAAGCAAAGGAACGAATCTGAGGATGTAAGAAGTGCAGCGGAGCCTGGACAGAGTAAGAAATGCGACAGTTGGACGCAATCTGAGCCTTTTCAAAGAATAGCAAAGAGTTGTGATGTCAAAGCTTCGGCCAGGCCGTGGTTTGTCTTTGTCTTGTAGCAAAGGTTAAAAACGTTTCTAGCCTGGAAACATAAAAACCAGTCTGGGCTCAGATATGATGAGCCATCACTGCAGCCGTCAGCAGGAGCTGCTGCAAAGTGGAACTGAAGAAAACTGAAGGAATCTCAGGCAGCGTCTTTTTCTGCGGCGACGGTGGATTCCAGATGGACATCAGCGGTAGTGAAAGCAGCAGGTTTTTAAATAAATACGGTGAGCGTGTAGCCTGACCTGACGCCGGTGTGGCTGAGCGGTCCAAACGTGGACGAACTGGATCCAAACGGTCGGACCATCCATTCAGCTTTGTACACTGGAGAGTTGTAGAGATCTGTGAGCTGCTGACCCGACAGGTCGTAGTTGTAGTTGCTGTACCCGGCTGACAGAAGGAAACGGGAGGTTTATTGAAACTATGCTCTACAAACATCACGCAGCACCACTGCGAGCGGCTTTAAGCCACACGGCGCTTAAACAAATGAAATACTCACGGCCGGACGAGGCGTCCACAGTCAGAGCCAGCAGGGTCAGGGCAGAGAGCAGCGCTTTGAGGGAAGCCATCGCGGGTTTGTCTCAGTCACAGACGTGCAGCTGAAGTTTTATAGTCCCGACAGCGTGACGGTCTCCCCGCTGCGCTCGTGTTTGTCTCTTGGCAGACGAGCTGGGATTTCCACACTGCTGATGGCACACAGCAGTTTTCATCATCAGCAGGTCATCGCAGCACTCTGCAGAGAATCAGTTTTCTGTGAGCTGCAGTTCCTCCTTGATGGGCCTCAGACATCCAAAGGGCATGAGCGATTACTGGGCTAATCATTTATTTATGTTCCTGTTTTATTAATCGATTTACTGTCTGAAGTCCACCTCAGCTGCAGGTTATAAACACCATGAACATTTTTCCTTTTGTGAGGAGCTCCTGAATCTTCCTCAGTCATGAGGAGCCCGGGCCCTCACTGCCAGAGGAACTCGGGCTGTTCCCACAGAGTCATCCCGTCCGTGTCCATGTCAGCCCGACAGTTAGAGCAGCTTTGAAGTCTGAAAGGACTCGGGCTGGATCAATGAGCTGCGAGCTTTTGGGGTGTGAACGAGAGTTTGTAAGTGAATTTCGATGCACTCGTTTGGGTAAAACTGCTTCTACAGTCACCTGCAGTGCAGCTAAACTCTCCTCACCAGCTTAGCTGCAGCCGTCCCGTCCAAAGCTCAACGTTCATGCTGGATGGCGTGACTTCAAAATTTCCTGAGCTGCCAAAAAGCAAACAAACAACCTCCACAAAGCTTCTGTCCCAAATAATTATCCCTAATTTTCTGCTCACAGGTTTAAACAGGAGTCAGTGGGTTATAAGAGCTTCAGAGTAAAGCAGTGTGTATGGGGCTGATGTGCACGCTGCACAAAGGTCAGAAACAATGCAAACCCAGCTCACAGGGAAAGGAATCGTTTTTCTACGAACGATTGTTGCAGGGAACCCACTGTCCTGTCTGGCAGTGTGGAAATCAGAATTGTTGTCTGAAGGCCAAACAAAATGCTCAACACGTACATTTGCCCAAGTGGACCATGATGGCATTTACTATAATGGATAATAGATTTAATTTGTTGATATTCAAAGATCTGTTCTTGTTAACACTATGATGTCCAACTAATCTGTGCAACGGCATAAAGTCTGTTCCTTTGAAAATATGTTCCAAGGATTTAATTCCTTTAAAACTCCAATCTGGGAAGTTGTTCATATTATTGTTCCTTAGTGTGTCAGGACTGTTCCAGATGTTTGTATGTTTGCATGTGATCAATGAAGACCCAGTGATTTTTAGAAACTCCCAGCATGCTGTCAGAGAGGAGCTGATGTTGATGCTTTTAAAGCAAACATGTCATTTTATGTTTCAATGAGTAGTACGTCCGAAATGCCTGTTCTGTGTCCAGACAGGGATCATCTACGGTGGCATCTTTTAACATTCCTCAGATGTATCGTAGCCTGTTGGCTAAGAAGTCTCCCGTTTAAACAAGTTGACATAACATAAAACTTAAAACTGAACACTGCGGTTTTCGTCCTGGTCGTGGAACATTTGGAGACCGTGTCCCTCGGAGTATCCTGTGGGAGGTGCTTCAGGAGTATGTGGTGTCTGGCCTGTAGCTTCGGGCACATTTGATCCTTATGCAGCCGTTGCAGGAGCTTGGTCTGCATAGCTGGCAGTGTGTCAGACTCATTTCTGGTGGGTGTTGGACTCCACCAGGGCTGCCCTTTGTCACAGATTCTGTTAAGAATTTTTATGGACAGAATTTCTAGGTGTAGCCAAGTGGTGGAAGGTTTCCACTTGGGTGGTCTCAGGATCTCAGGTGCCAGCTTCAGTTT